AAAATTTCATGTCATTAGCACCTCTAGTAATATATTTACTGAGAAAAATGGTGACGTGTTCAATACTTATTTTACCCGCTGTATCTGTGTACATTTTTTTCTACCAACGAATACCAAATATAAGACTCCAACCTGATCAATTATAGCAATGATTTCTTAATTTATTGGTTTCTCACTGGTTTAGTTGCTATGGCAGTAATACAGTTTAATTTACTGTTTACTTTCATGCAAACAATATTGCTTTATTTCACATTTATCAACAGACAAAAAAAGAGACTCAACAAGAATTACACAGAATAAATTCACAGTATTTCACAAAGAACACAGACACAAAAAATAAACTTTTTACAGCCTTTAGAGTTCATGCAGTTAAAAAAGTACAACTGTTTGTTAAAGTGTTGTTCATACAATTATACAAAGTCCTATGATTTAAGTAGAAATGCTACAGAAAACAAAAGGGAACATTCAGAAAGTCTAGGTTGAGATGTTGAGGTTTACATGTTTAGGGAAACCACCAGTATGGAAGTCCATCATAGCAAATTCTAGACATTTTATAGTAAAATCATCTTAAATAATCAATGGATTTTAAATGTGCAAAACTGTGTAATAAAGAACCTGCAAACACTGTCCCAAGCTGAAGTCTTCTATATTCACTGTAAAACCATTGATGAAAAACTGGTAACATTCTCGATCAGTTTCTTTGCAATAATTTCAAATCAAAATTTCAGAAACAACAAAACTGTCGTGTTTATAGAATCGATTTTTAATGAAAACAGTGTCATGCGTGAAAAAGAACATTAAAAATAACTCACTCGGTTTTAAAGGTAGTGCCAAAAAAAGTGTGAACATGCCAAAAAATAAAAACAAAGAAAAGTAATAGAACATTTGAGGAGCATTTTACTCAAAAAAAAAAAAAACACATTTAAACTGTGCTTTTTGTGCTTCAACACTACAAAACAGCCTTTTTGTGAAAATAATCAGTGCTCCCTCTTTCTCTATTAAAAAAAAAACAGAAAAAAAAAACTTCCCAATGTTGTCTCTGCTGACTATTTTGTGTGGCACTCATAGGTTAACAAAGGCGAAAGGTTTAGAAGGAAATAAATCTAATTTGTACTTTAACTTCCACTAACTTTAAAGTGACAAGTGCAAACAGTTGATCCATACAAGAAACTGGAATATTAAAGTGTGCTACTCTGAAAATAAACACATTACTTTATGATACAGAAATCTACAATAAAAAACATCAGCACCATCCAATTACAGGAACTTGGAATGTAAAAGGTGAACTCTATAAATACATCACTTTGTAAAAAAAGAAAAGAAAAAGAAAAAAAGAAGTGGTTTTGGCGAACAGTGTGGAACCAGTTGTGAGTGTTTCCTAAATGTAACACAATGCTACTGAGAAAACCTGCGCCAACGTTACATGTTGGTGCTTTTGCATTTGTGTGAGCGTCTTTCTGCTGCTACACACCTGATGTAATGTTTCAGCTGCTCTTAATCGATAAAAAAYGATGATTTAGTTAAATAATTGTTGGAAATAAAATGCTACGTGTGCCCTTTGTGATCAACAAAWAAATCCAACTACTGCATTAGGAACAAAATAAATTACTTTAAGAAAAACATACATTTGTGGTACTTCCTGTAAACCTCTACAATATAAAATATAATCTGTATTGATAGACTTCATCGTGAAAATCTGACCTGTCAGATTATTAATAATCTGCTAATCAAAGGTTGACGTCGCCACACTGCTGGTTTGACTTCATCCAAACAGGTTGGACAGAGGTCGGGTTCGGAGAGGACTCCTGGGGAGTTCCTCCCCCCTTCCCACCTCCCCCGTGTCCCTAAAGGAGGCGCTGTGGATGATCTGGGCTCGATGGCGCCCGCGATGCAGCCGGGCATTCAGCCGGCCCAAAGACGACTTCCTCTGCAAGCCCCCCTTGGTCTTGTCGGCCCCCGCTGACTCCTCTGCCGTCTCTGCCGGTGGGCTCAGAAGCCGCAGGGGGTTCAGGTTGCCCTGGAGGACTTTGGCCAGCCTCCAGCCCCGCCCTCCGTTGCTGCTGGTGCTGTTTCCCGCACCGGACCCCTGCGTTGGTGAGGTGACCACGCCCTCTTTCTGCAGGACATCGGCGACCGGCGGAGGCAGGTACTGGATGGCTCGCCTGCCGCTGTAATCTCGAGCCTCGGGGTCGGCTGCCCAGTCTGACAGCAGCACACGGACCACCTGCCAATCAAAGCGCCAAACGTCAGACACCCCAGTCTGTAAATATATATATATATATATATATATACATACATACATACATACATACATACATACAGTATACGTATATACTGTATATAACCTGCCACTGAAAGAGAAGTCAAAGTGTGTTTCTGTGCCTGTTAGCAAAATATCTCATGAACAACTGGACTAATCTGAATAAAACTTGCAGTGAATAATCGATATATGCACAAGCACAGCTGATTAAAATTTGAAGTCAATCCAATTCAAGATGGCCTCCACAGACAACTAATATTAAAAAAGCAAAAATAAATATAACCCAGTTCATTTATATATTTTGTGCTAAAATTTGTTGTGGTAGTAGCTGAGACTAGTCCCCAACATATAATCTGAGCAATAACATATTGTGCAAGATATAAGTTTAAAATGTCGCCTTAACTGTATTTAGTCAACTCTGTCTGTTAGCAAAATATCTCATGAACAACTGGAATAATCTGAATGAAACTTGCAGTAAGTAATCGATATATGTACACGTATAGCTGTTTAAAATTTGAAGTCAATCCAATCAAGATGGCCTCCACAGACAACTGATAATAAAAAAAACACAAATTAATATAACCCAGTTCATTTATATATTTTGTGCTAAAATTTGTTGTGGTAGTAGCTGAGACTAGTCCACAACATATATTCTGAGCAAAAACACATTGTACAAGATATTAGTTTAAAATATCGCCTTTAAGTTCAGTTCAGTACCATTTAACTGTATTTAGTCGACTCTGTTAGCAAAATATCTCATGAACCACTGAAATGATTTTATTGAAACTTTCAGGAACTAATTTACTCGTTAACTTTTGAACTCAGCACAGTCAATGTAGATCCACCCATCCATCTTTATTTGTGAGGGTTTTTAATGAGACAACAAAAATTTTGAAAAAAGGGACAGATGGTGCATTGCATCTTAAAATGTAAAAAAAAGGAATTATAATAAAAAATAAGCTACATAAGTGAATTTTTCTACATTTTTTCCACAAAACTAATGTTTTTTTTACTCCTAAGTGAGCAGATGGAGAGGTTGTAATTCTACGTAGGTTCACTGAGCAAGTTCAACACAACACTCCCTGCAGCCCACCTGTGTGTGTCCATGCATGGCAGCCAGGTGCAGCGGTGTGTACCCAGCCCCCGACCTCCCGTTCACATTCACGGGTATCGAGTTCTCCTTGGCGAAGGCCAGCAGCTGAGAGAGCAGCTCGGCTTTGCCCTGCTTCGCGGCCCAGTGGAGGCAGGTGAAGCCGGTCACGAAATCTCGTTTGGCCACGAGGCCCGGCTCGACGGCGAGCAGGGGCTGCAGACTCTCCCACAGGCCGTCCGAGGCGCAGAGCATCCACTCGTGCTCCAGCGGGTCCAGGGTTACCGAGGCGCAGTCCTCGTCCGTGGCCGAGGAGTGGAGCGACGCAGAGTCGCCGTCGCTCCTCACKGAGTCTCGGACGCGTGGGCCACGGTTAATCAGAGACCTCCGAACCTGTGGGGGGCAGAGGCGTTAAAGAAGTTGTCTTTAGATGTGTTCCGATTGTTTCATCAGTGTGCATTGCCAATGCAATGCACACAATTGTGATTCGTTTCCCATCCAAGTCATCTCAACTTTGCCATGTTTCTCCTCCTGCATACTTTGTTCTAGAGCTGCCATTGTAATTTATATCTGTAAAGCCCCTGTGCCAAATGATGGCTATGCCTTTTGGTGCCTGTAAAACTTATAGTTTTTGAAATATTAATGTTTCATAAATTATAATGGCAGTCAATGGAGCCTTGTATTGGTCCAATACTGCCCCCTGTTGCATCTACACAATATGGTACTGCACCATAGATTCATAATATTTAAACTCAGTAGTTCAGTGATTACAATATTAATATGATTGTATTTTGATGTTTTACTGTAATACTGTCTTTATGTTGTCCTATTGCTGTAATATATTGCACTTAAGTGTCAATAATTGCATTGGCAAGGTAAACCTTTTCTGTATACATACAATCCAATCCCTGGGATTGTCCTCTGCCACATCTCCTATAGTCTCATGATGAGCACTGTGGGGTTTTTTATGCAGGAGATCAGGGTTCAAATCCAGCTACTGCAACTTTAACAAAAATATCTTCAAACTTCATATTGTCACACAATTACCCTTATTACAAACACCTGCTGACGTGACAGGCTCAAGCTGGTTTAGAAAACTTCTTTGAACTTGGTCAAAGCTCATTCTGCAAGTCCAATGCTCCTGCATACTTTGTCCTACAGCTGCCATTGTAATTTCTATCTGTAAAGRTCCTGTGCCAAATGATTGCTATGCCTTTTGGTACCTGTACAACTTGTAGTTTTTGAAATATTAATGTTTAAACTTTATTCCAAATTCATATAATGTGAGTCAATGGGGCCTTGTAATGGTCCAATACTCCCCCAGCTGTACTCAACTTGGTACTGCACCATAGTTTTTTAATATTTAATCTCAGTAGTTCAGTGTTTACAATACTAATATGATTGTATTTTGATGTTTTACTATATCATTATCTTAATATTGCTCTATTGTTGTAATATTACGCAGTTTAGTGTCAAYAATTGTATTGGCAATGTGGCCTCTTTCTGCACACATACAAACCAACCCCTGGTAACACACCCTGCCACAGCTCCAGCAGTCTAATGTCTATGTCATGGGCTTTCATGTGGGAGATCAGGTTTCAAAACCCAGCTAACGCAACTTTAACAAAAAAWTTATTCCAACTTCATATTGTCACTTAATTACCTTAATGAAAAACACCCGCTGAAGTGACAGGCACAAGCTGGTATAGAAAACACATTTGAACTTGGTCAAAGTTCCTTCTGCAATTCCAATGCTGCAGGCAAAGCCACGCTACATGGCAATGCACACTTGTTTTTACATTGTAAAAACCCATGTCTAGTTTGATATGTTTCAACGAGCCCCACCTGAGGAGAACTGCTCATCATAAGTTCTATGAAATTCCTGCGACTTCCTTTTGGCGTGTTTAACTCCCCAATAGCCTCCAGTCCCTCCATTGCRCTGTCTTCAGAGAGGCAGCTGGTCAGTACCGCCCGCTGGGACCCCTTCGACACCCTGCGTGCTCCTCTCACCGACTGGTTGTGTGACCCAGCAGAGTGGGCCTGATCCAGGTCTTGCATTGCAATAACTGGGGCGGACTCTCGCCTCCTCCTGTCCCTCAGCCTGACCTCCCCTCCTCCAGCAGGGGTAGAAGCCCCCAAGCTGGTCTTGGTCTGAGACAAGSCTTCGGGTTTGTTGTTTTCGTTTGAATGTTTGTCATTGTTGTCCACTGTGGTCGGAGGTGGACTCTTTGCTCCTGCAGAATCGAACAATCGTTAGTAAAGATCGCAACATTTCATTTATGTCAATCATGTGACTCAAGCTTCCTCATAGTTTTCAGCAGGTTCAGCTTTGTTCACATTGAGCGCATACCCACATTTCAGAACTGTAATCTATTTATATCTGGAAAAGTATTGAATAATTCACACGTACGCACGCACACATACATTTTTTGGGTGCGACGATACAGAAAATTCACAATTCGGTTCGGTTCGATACCTAAGTCTCACGGTTCGACATTTTTCGATACAAATAACAGAAATTCCCACGGCCTTTTTAACTTGTAATTTATCGAAATTATTTATGAACATTTGTTTAACCTCAAAAGTACCATTTTAAATTAAATTTAAACTTAAATTTAGCCGAAACAGCAAGTTTCTCCGTGGATCTGCGCTCGAAAATACAGCCTAGATGGAGTAGTTGAACAAAGATCCTCCGATCCTTCAACACAGAGCATCTTCAGACAACAAGTTCACAAAATAATTTAAAAAAAATCTGTATTGTTCGATACAAGTGTGTATTGAACCTAAAGCACTGTATTGAACGG